AGCTAGTCATTAGAGGTTACAGGCCTCTGCATGCCAGTTACTGGGGAATAGAAGTGGGATGGTGCTGTTCCCTTAATGTAAGCTTGTCCTCGTCATCTGGTTAATTGCTCTGGGAAAATGCAGCTATAACAAATAGGCTTTGGTTCTGGTATAGTCATATATATTTTTTCTAATGCAATCTGATTCTTATTTAAAAATTAGCATTGGAGCTTGATCTGGATTGCAACCTTACTCGGAGGAGGGCCCCGCGGCAGTCTCCAGATCTGTATCAGGGCTGCCCAAGCCTCTTCTTTAGTTTTTTTTTTAAAAAGCATACCCTGTTTCCTTGAAAATAAGACCTAACCTAAAAATAAGCCTTAGTATGATTTTTCGGGATGCTCGTAATATAAGTCCTACCCCAAAAATAAGCCCCAGTGAAGTGAAACCCTGCCCTCCACCATTGTGCAGCATTGTCAAGCAACCAGAAGAAGATGACATGACTGTAAAATAAAACATCCCCCGAAAATAAGCCCTAATGCATTTTTGGAGCAAAATTTAATATAAGACCCTGTCTTATTTTCAGGGAAACATGGTACTATTTATACAATTTCTGTTGGTGTCATTGTGGTTTCTTCCAATTCCCCCCTCCCCTTCCTGGAGGTGAAAACGTGGGAGGAAATCCTATATTGCAGAAACTTACTTTGGACTGTTACTCTAGGGCAGTGGTGGCGAAACTTTTTGGGCTCACATGCCCAAACTGGGGGACAAAAAACAGGGGGCGGCTGAACCAGAAGTGGTGGTGGAAGGGGGAATCCCAGGCACGGAGGTGCCTCAAGACCCCACTCTGGATCCGCCACCAGCACCAGCTGCTCCGGATCCGCCTGCTGAAGCACCAGCACCATGGTTGCAGCTGCCTGCTCGGTTTTGGCTGCACGGAGGGCAGGGGAGTAGTGATCCGGTGACTATGTTTGCAGCTGCCTGCTCGGTTTTGGCTGCATGGAGGGCAGGGGAGTAGTGATCCGGTGACTCATGGCCCACATGCCAGCAGAAGGGGCTCCATGTGCCAGCTGTGGTACGCATGCCATAGGTTTGCCATCGCTGCTCCTGGGTGCCCACTCACACCTGCCTAATCTCTTGGTACAGTTTCTTAACCAAACAGGCAGGTCAAGAAGAATTGTGCCTGCTATGTAGTTACCACTCACTGCTTTCCTGCTTCGGACTCCTAGGGAAGCAGGCAGTCGGAGTCCTCTTCTTCCAAGAGTGCAAACCATGTCTCCTTTAGTGTGCATGACTAGAGTACTTCAGGCCAGTGCACACCCACTGAAAGGGAATTCAGCAGTTGAGATCAGATAGCTTATAAATGAAGCAAGCAGACCTGTCAGTGTTAATGGCTTCTCCTATTCTCTCTCTCTCTCTCTCTCTCTCTCTCAAACAGCATGACTTGGCTGTTTCCTGTCTTATGGGCCATTTGCTCCTCTAACACAGACACCTTCAAGTTTGGAAGGAATTCTTAGAAGGGAATAAGCTCATCATCACAATGTTCTGCACTATCTATTATTTTAACAGGAAAGAGCAAGGGTGTTATTGGATGCACGGGAAGGGTTTAATTTGTAAGAAGACAAGGAGCAGAAAGGGCAGAGGGGAATCAGGCTTGGCAGCTGCCTGAAAAATCACACTTGCTCTCTTGCTGCTGTTAGCGGCACTCTGTGTGTACACACAGAGAGCCTCCCAAGACCTTCTAGTGCTGCTGAAATACTGTCACCAGTACAGAGCTATAGTTCCTGCTGACCGCTTGCGCCACAGTGGGGGCATAATTGGTTGGGCTGATCTTTGGCCAGCAACCTAAGCACCTGCTAATTGCTGGAATGAAGCCCCTGTGCAAGGCTGGTCATGGCAGAAGTAGCAGCTATAACAGTTTTATTTTGCAATGGATGTAAGAGGAAGAAAACTGGAATTACATATCAAAGGTGAGAAGCCAAATGGTCAGCCACCTTCTTCTCCTGCTCACCTGTCCCCTCTGGTTATGGTGCAGAGGACAAACAAAGCTGCAAACACAATGAAGGTGCACTGCCAAAACTTCCTTTCTGCTTATAAAAATAAGGTTTTGAAATAAAACATTTATAACAACATGAGTAGCTCATGGTCTGAGCAGGTAGGGCAAAGTTCTGTGGAAATAAAGCAAAGTGTGTTGCTTATATATTTAAAGCACTTTCTGGGTGGTTTACAATTTAATTATGCTGCCTACACGTCCCCTCCCTAGCAAGCTGGGTACTCAATTTACTGATCTAGGAAAGATGGAAGGCTGAGTGAATCTTGAGTCTGGGATTGAACACAGGTTGTGAGTAGATTTTTGGCTGCAGTACTGCAGTTTAACCACTGCACCAGAAGAATACCCATCCACCTCATCCTGCACCACAATGTAAAGCAATAGAATAATAAACGTTCTCAGGGTCAACACCTTTTAGATATTCTTGGACTACAGATCCCATCACCCCCAGAAAACACAGCCAATCATGGTGGGTGATTGGAACTGTAGTACTTCAGCCTCTGGAGACCAGTTTCCCTCACCCCAACAGATCATGTCTACAACACACTGCATAAGTATAAATAAACGGAACAAGATGGGGACCAGATGAAAATGTGGCCACAGTATTCAGGTTAGGACATTCTGTCCTTAAATCCAGACCATGGTGAGTGATCTGTGTTTATTCTCTGCTGAGGCATTGTATACGAAAGAAGTCAGAATGGACTGTCCTACTTGAGACTACTTATGTGGAGGTTCATAAAAACCAGCACCGAGGTCATGCAGTTCGGTCAAAACGCCACCCCCCCCTTTAGTATGTTACACTTTTTCAAAAGGCAGGTTTTGAGGCAAAACCTATAAGAGAGGGGGGGAGAGGGAGAGAGAGAGGAGAGAGAAGTAAAAACTGGTCAGACCTTCCACCTGCAGTATGATGAAGTACAGTCCATAACGTCAACTCTGAACTCTACTACTTTACTTTCATAACCCACTGCGGGTGAAAACACTTCATGCAGGAGACTCCAATACATTCTTCACTATGACTGTGCATTGACAGACTGTTGTGTCATTAGATCACTGTTGACCAGTCAAGAGCCCCTGGAACTTTTCTGATGCTCACCACTGATCATCTCCTGCTGAGCTGCGTTCTCTGCTCACACTGTTGCACTTGGCCTTGGAAGAGCCAAGTTCAAATGACCCTCGGGCCATGAAAATAACTGCATAATTCTAAGTCAGTTACCGTATTTTTCCATGTATAAGATGATACTTTTTTCCTAAAACGGTTAGAGTAAAAATTGAGGGTTGTCTTATACATGAAAGTAAGAGGGGAAGGAGTTTGGAAGTGGGTAAAGCAGCCATGAAAGGGCTGCAGGCTCAAAGGGCTGCGAGTGTGCAGCCCTTTCATGGCTGCTTTACTTCAGGTAACGATCGCAGCCCTTTGATCGTGCAGCCCTTTCATGGCTGCTTTACCTGAAGTAAGAACGAAGTAGATGACCCTCATTTTTTAAATTCAGGCTTGGAAAAGTGGGGGGTCATCTTATACACAGAAAAATACGGTACTCTCTCTCAGCCTGATGTATCTCACAATATTCCTGCAGATAAAAAGTGAGGAAAAGGAGAAAGAGGGTGGTCTATGCTACCCGGAGTTCATGGGAAGGCAAGGAGGATACAAATGTATCTAATACAATAACAACACTTACAATTGAGTGAGTCAGTCAGTCAGTGAGAGGGGTGGACCTGCTCTGTGTTTCTGGCTCTGTGCCATGCCTATAGACAGAGAGTGTAGGTGAGCAGGTCAGGATGGTGGCTGACACTGTGACCGCTCACCTCCCCTCTCTCTCTGTCTCTCTCTGGCAAGGTAGGTTTGGGCAAGTGACAGTTGTGTGAAACCCCTGTGGTTGTGCCTCATTGCTACCCTCCTGTCTCCCTTTGGGAGGCCCCCATCTACTTGCTCTCATCCTGCAAGAGAGAGCAGAGAGAGCCTGCCCATACGACTGGGAAAGGTGCAACAAAAAAAGGCAACAGTATGAGGTAATTTTTCTTGCTGCATGCAGCTTCTAAGACCCACTTGTAAACGTGTGCTATACCTCTCACAGGTCAAAGGTCACAATGCTCCCCATCACCAGATCAAGCCTTCCCTCCAAAAGCCACCAAGAAAGAAAAACCACCTTCACCTGCTTGGGTACCCTCTCCTGCTGGGCAGGACCGTGCAGGTGCCTGGGGGCAATGAGCAGTCCCCTCAAAGTCCCCTTCTCAAGGCTCCACCCGACACCCCACAACAGGGCATCGTCCTTGCCTCAGCTCATGGTCCAGGACGGGGGTGGGCAGGCAAGTCCCTTCAGACTCAACTCTTTCACGAGGTGGGGAAGGGAACTATTGCTACTGCCAGTCTGGGCGCGAGCGTCGCTGCATCCCAGTTGGCCAGGGTTCCCTTTGCTAAGGGTGGAGGGGCTTCAATCCCAAGGTCCCTCTCCAGCAAGACACCCCCCCCGCACCCTCTACGCCCAACTCTGAGCTTGGGGCATTTTCTTCCGAGAGGGGCCACCTAAGCTCCTCCAAGGCAGCCCAGCCTGAGGGGCGGTCAACTTGCCCTCCGTCCCTCCTTT